GGAAATAAATGACAAAAGAAACCAGAAAAAAACCTTAAATACATGGAAATTAAATGACACCCTACTCAGCAACCAATGGGTCACAGAGGAAATTAAACAAGAAATTCAACAGTATCTACAATTCAATGAAAAGAGGCCCCTGGGGTTCCTGTGGAGACCCCTCTGGAGGAGAAAATGTTCAACATTGAACTGGAGATTGGTAATGTCCCAATCTTGGTTGTGGAAACCAGAACTTCACCTGGAGAACTGAATGCAAGCAGTGTAAGGCCCAAAATGTGAAGGCTTTACCACAATCTCCCATGCGCCCTCCTAGGCCACCTGGACCTCCACGCAGCGGCATGCCACCTCTCATGCTATTCATTGGAGACTTCTTCCAAGCAAGGAAGACTTTTAAGTTTGCTTCCTTGAAAATCTTTCCCATCAAACCACTCCATAGCAGCCTTGGCAGTCAGTGGATCTTCACAGGACACCATGGCATCGCCTTTAGGCTTTCCTGTTTCCTTGTCCAGGTAGATGTGGATCATGGGTTACCCAGATCTCTTGTTAATCTTAACAACCTCACATTGCTTAAAGAAGTCTACCAGATCAGCAAGTGTCAAATTGTCATTTAGTCCTTGTATGTAAATTGCACTGTTATCAGAGTCTTCATCAGGATCTATGGGAGCGCCTAGATCAATATCTGGTCCTTCATCCATGGGTCCACCAGGCTTATTGAAGCCACCTCGCTCTCCAGCACCCATTCCACTGTGTCCTCCTGCCTGCCCACCTATGCTTATGCCTCCATGATCAAATCCCCCTCTTCCCCTGTCCCAGTTATCAGGGCCACTCATCTTGTGGTTTTCTTCTGGTCCAAAAAATCCTCCAGTCTCCTGCCCATAAACATCCATGCTACGGGGGTGGTCCTGTTGGAATGAACTCTGCTGCCCGTAGCTGCTGATCTGTAGGCTATATTGACTTGGAGCCTGGCTGTAGGATCTAGTTGGGGTGTGTGTGGGATAACTAA